TAGAATCCTTTCTCTCTCTCTCTCTCCTTCTTCCTCTTTTCTTCATTTCTTTCTTCCTTTCTTTCTCAGAAATCAACACTTCAAAGTATGGTTTGGTTTCCATTTGTTTTTACAGTGGTAAATATTTTATTACTTAAAAAGGGAAGAAGTGTTTGTTCTTAATTGTTTTTGATTAAATATGCTAATTACTTTTTTGGAATACTAATGACACGCAGTACTAAATGTTTTAATAATGCAGTGAAATAAGCTGGCAAATATAACAACAAATTAACCTGAAATCGCTACATAGCTTTCCTCATTTTAAATTGTAATAATACAAAACAGACCAGGGGAAAAAAATCAAAATTGTGTCATCTAATACGAAGGGGAAACAAACTTTATTAAGCAATTTTGGTGTTTTAATGTAAACGAATTCATTAAGAGATGCGTGCTTTCTAGAACAATGACCTAGAGAACAGCCAGTTGGTTGATTATCTCTAATCTGTCAAAATTCATTCCACACAAATCAAAACATAACTGGGAGCTGGGTGGGGCCTGGAGCCTCCTCTCTGGTGCTCATCCTGACCACGTGGGCCTGGCACCTGGACCACGTACACAAGGGAGGCCTGGAGCCCTGTACCCGCTTCAGCCCCAGGCAGTCTACCTAAAACCGTGATGCAGTTTCTTTTACATCCATCACAGTTATGTCGTTGCCAGTGAGAAAGAGGAAGGAAAACATACTTGTCCAGAAGTGCACACGGTGCATGAGTGGAGACTGTCACAGATTCTGGATAAAAAGCAGCACTGTGGTTTAATCGGTTTCCTCAGTTTTCTTAGGACATGGTCACCACACCTTGGCGTCAGCTCCCCTTTTGGGGCTGTTATCTGGTCAGCCATGCAGCAGTGTCAACCAGGGCAGGGGGCTGCTTGTAAAGCTGTTTTTCGATACGTAACTCGCGCGTATGCATCTGGGAAAACTGAACCCCACCGCTGCGAAGGAGGTGTTTTTGGAAAAACCAAGCCTGTATCCCATCAGCCTTTAGAGCGGTTCCCTTGGCCAGGGGTGACTTTTCTTCCAGGGAACAGCTGGTCATGTCTGGAGGTAGCTTTGGTTGTCACAGCTCAGGATATCCTGACATCTAACGGGCAGAGGCCAGGGATGCTGCTAGAAGTCCTAGAGTGCACAGGACTGGGCGCACAGAAAGCACATCATCCCAAAGGTGGACAAGGCAGCAGCTGAGAAATTAGAAGTGAAAGCGTTAGTCGCTTGGTCATCTGACTCTGCGACCCCATGGACTGGACCTGCCAGGCTCCTCTGTCCATGGGACTCTCCGGACAAGAATATTGCAGTGGGTAGCCATTCATTCTCTTCTCCAGGGGACCTTCCTCACACAGGAATTGAACCCAGGTCTCCTGCATTGCAGGCAGATTCTTTACCATCTGAGCCGCCAGGGAAGCCCCGCCAAATTCTAGGGAACACAGAGGAAGGAGGAACCCAGTGAGTGACAGGAATGTACTTGGCAAAATACAGACCTGGGACTCCAGATGACAGCTGAGCTGTTTCCGTCAACACTGAATTGCTAAAGGAAAGGAAGGGGGGAAAGAATGAAAAGAGAGAAAAGAGGGCAAGAGAGAGAGAGGGCCGGAAGATCCGCAGAGATTTGAGATAGACCAACCAATGGCCATGCGTGGATCGTATTTTGACCCTGGTTTCAGCAATAAGCTGTCAGAGATTTATGAGGTTGCTGGGAAGATGTAGAACCTTAGTCGAATGTTTAAGGACAACATAGAATTCTTGTAAAGTTTTTAAGGCAAAACATGAAAAATGATATGACTTTGAAATGTTCTTCCAAGTATTCCAGAGAGGGAGGTGGAAGGATGCAGGGTATGGATGAATTGGGACAAGGGGTGGCTCAAGCTGAGGGGTTGGTAGATGGACATTTATCATATTTCCTTTCTATAAACATCTGAAACTTTCCAGACCAATTTCCTTTGAAGACAAGGGCTGGTAAATTCATAGCACGTCTGTCCAGCCACTTCATGGAAATTCACCAGGTGGCTAGCAGTGTCCCAGGAAGAATGGCCCTCTTCCAGCCCACCTGGAAGCTGACATCCACAAGGGCAGGCCCGAGAGGGGACAGCTGACTCAGAGGCCCAGAGATGGAGGCCAGGAGGCGCAGCGGATGCAGCTCACTCTCCCAGCTTCCGTCTGCCCAGCCCTGAAGTGGGACAGGACCAGTGAGCACCCTCCCCTGGAACTCTGAGACTCCAGTGACGTCACGGACACGGAGTCAGACTGACTCCAAAGCCCCTCAGCCCAGAGCTGAGCCTGCTGAGCTGAGCGGGTGCTGGTGCTCAGAGGGAAGAGGCCGTGTGCCCCCTCGAGGGTCTTGAAGACATGCAGCCTTGTGTGGGACCTGGGCTGGACAGTGGCTCGAATCCTGTGAAGGGTGAGCGCTGGGCACTGTCCCGCCCTCTGCGGTGGTGCTCTGGGCGAGCTGGGGGAAGGCTGGACCGCTGTGTCTGAACGTTTGGCGAAGCAGTGGGATGTGTTCAGGGACCCCAGAGGCACGCTGGCAGCCTGGGCTCCTGGGGTCTCTCTCACCCTGAGAGGAAGGACAGAGGAGGATGCCCATGGGCTGCCACGTGGCTCCATCAGGAATGGGAACGTCTGGCAGGGAGAAGGCTTGGGTCCAGACAGAGAGGAAAGTCTGAGAAGGTCAGTTTGGGGATGTTTGTTAGAGTCTCTGGTGAAAGTGGCCATTTGGCACGAGGGTGTCCCTGGAGACTTTAAGGCTCAGGGAAACATGGCCAGACCTTGGTTTAAGAAAATCTTGAATATTTTTGAGACTCTTGTTTAGGCGGCAAGGATGTGCAAGCTTCTTTCTGTAAAGAGTAAGGTAATAAAAATGTAAGGGTTTGCAGGTGGCCCCTGTCACATATTGTTCTTTAAATAGTTTTTACAGTCCTTTACACGTGAAAGAACCATCCTTCGTCCAAGGTCCATACAGCAGCAGGTGCTGGGGGCTGAGTGTGCTGACCCCAAACAAGAGCAGAGGTGGTGGGAATGGTCGCTGGGGAGGGGATGTTCAGAGACCTGGTGATCGCCATGGTGACGCCTCCCTTCCCTAAATGACGTTTCCTGTGGTCCTCCTGGGTGCTCACCTCGCCTTGTATCCTCCGCAGGCCAGCCTTGGCCACCGCTCTGCTGAAAGCTCTGATCCAGAGGAAAACCCTGGTCTGCAGAGGGTGTTAGTGACTCTCTTCTGCTGTGTGACCTTGGGCAGGTCACTGAACACCCTGAGCCTCTATCCACACGCATGAACCGTGAGCAGTGGCCCGGCCCCAAGACACAGCGGGTGTGAGGACTGCAGGCGGTCCTGACTGTGAAGCTCCAAGAACAGTGCTGGGGTTTCCCCAGTGACAGCCGCAGTAACAGCCACGGACCCGAGTGACATCTCCGCGGACTGTCCTGGGCAATCTCCATCCATCCGCTTCTCAGAGCAGCCGGGGAAGCAGAGGCTCACTTAGGGTAGAGAACCAAATGCGCAGTGGATGCCTTGCCTGGCCCGGCTGCCTGGGAGACCTTGGGCAGCAGGTCTGGACGCTCTCTGTTTCTCCAGCGGTCACGTGAGGACAATGATGAAGGTTCAGTCTCCCGTGATGACTCGACGAGCTAATAATGCGAGTCAGGCGTGTAGCACAGACTTGGCGCCTCGTGACGGCTGGACACGTGGGATTCATGGCATCCTCTTCAGTTCAGTTCAGTCGCTCAGTCGTGTCTGACTCTTTGCGACCCCACGAATCGCAGCACGCCAGGCCTCCCTGTCCATCACCAACTCCCGGAGTTTGCTCAAACTCATGCCATTCGAGTCGGTGATGCCATCCAGCCATCTCATCCTCTGTCGTCCCCTTCTCCTCCTGCCCCCAATCCCTCCCAGCATCAGGGTCTTTTCCAATGAGTCAACTCTTCACATGAGGTGGCCAAAGGATTGGAGTTTCAGCTTCAGCATCAGTCCTTCCAGTGAACACCCAGAACTGATCTCCTTTAGGATGAACAGTATGAGAAGGCATTCTCTTAGAAGGGTTATTATTGCTGCAAAATAGCAGTCTTCAGGATCTGACCCCCGAGGACTCACTCGATTGGAAATCCCAGGATGCTGGTGGCCCTTGGCATAGCAGGCACTAAATAAACACTTGCAAACACTTGTGGACCGATTGTCACATGGCACCCACACGATCTCACCCTGGAGATGGGTGGAAGGTGCCCCTTGCCAGGCGCATGAGTGGGATAAGGTGATCAGTGTCCTCCCCCGTTTTCCAGGGGCACTCAGGGGGCAGCTCTGAAAGTCTTGGGTCCCGAGAAACCCTCAGTTTCAGGCAAACCCAGAAAACCTTGTGGGGGGTGGAGGTTAGCTTTCCGGCAGAGCAAGGTCCTTCCCAGCCCACAGCAGCTCTCACCTCTCCCCCGGGGCAGGGGATGCAGCGGGTCCCTTTCTGTGTCTGGGTGGGCAGGGCAGTGGACAGCACACCAGGTGACCGGTCCCCTCCAGTGGAGTCTGTCCCCGGCGCCCCCACAGCTCTGACCCCCTGCAGGCATGCCTCCAGCCATTTATGAGGATTTCTGAGCTTATTCCAGACAACTATTTATTTTCATTGTAAGTATTGTATCCTTTTCTTTAAAAGGGCCTTCCTGACATCAGGCCTCAAAAAACCCGGTCTGCCTCTGCGGCGAGGGCTTGTACCCTTGAACTTGGGAGGCACTTCGGGGCCTGGCCTGGCCTGCACTTTTCCAGAGACATGCACACGTTCCCAGGGCTTTCCTAAGTCCATGTGAGATGAGGTGCACAAAGGTCTCCATGGCAAAATTAAGGACATTTTTCGGTGGGACAGAAAGGCTTCTTTCTCTTGTTCAATCTCTATTTGTAGCTGCCAATGAGAAAGGCCAAAGAGTTTAACAACCTCAGCCCCAGTAAAGCCAGTCTGGGCGAGCTGGGCAGAGGGGACTCGGGACTCAGCTGATGTCAGTGTCAGGAGGCGGTGAGGCCCAGCACTTCCCAGGGAACGGGCAGCCTGAAAGCTCCCATTCATCCACCACCCAGCGGCCCGGCCTCTCTCGCCTGACTTCTGGGGCACACAAGGTGTTTGCAAGGTGCCAAAAGAAAAGACACACTCGATCTGTGATCGTAAAACGGGCATTTTACTGGCGCGCCCTCTGTGATTCGGTTACAAGGCAGACACTCCCTCGGCCCGGCTGTCCCCTGCTGGCCAGGGCCCTTTACTTGGTGGTCCTCCCAGGCTTTGGGGCCCTCAGGGAGCCCCAACAGGCCTGCAAAGGGGAGAGCAGCCAGCATCACGGGTCCTCAGCAGACCCCGTGGATGTGCAGGGGAGACCGGGGCTCCCCAGGGCTGTTCTGGGGCAGAAGGTAGCACTGTGCATGGTGGGGATGGAAGGAGAAACAGGGGGTGTATCCCAGCCAGGGGACACATTTGACTCAGTGCCTTATCCACGGCGTGAATCAAAGCAGCGGATACAGCGGTCCTGGGGCCTCAGTTTCCCTGCAGGTCAGAATCTCTGGGAAGCAGAGCCCGAGATGGATTTAGGGGCACCTGAGGTTCACGGGGGAGCAACAGCTATAAAAAGAAGGAAGGGGTGCCAGACTGGGCAGGGGGCGGGGCACCAGCTCAGGACTCGGAACTGACCACATCTCTGCCCAAGGAGCTCCAGCAGAGACTTGGCCCCAGGCACATAGAGCCTGCCCCTGTTACTGTTGCCTAGCTTGGCATGTGCCTGAAGCCCCCTCCAGAAAAGCATCACTTGACCATAAGGATGAAGCTGACCCTGAAGGAAGAGCTGAGGGATGTCGCCCAACATGCACCTCCCAGCTGGCCAGGGTTCCTTCCTGGAAGAGAGAACGGGCAATGCAGACATGTCTGCAGCGTGCACCTTGTCTGCAAACACGTGCAAGAGCTTCCTGTCAAAGCAGGTTTTAAGATTAGGTAAACAATACCTATAATACACCTGACCCAGAAGAGGCCCTCAGGACAGACAGACATTGTTGGGCTGAGTCACAGACAGCAGGGTTTTCTGAAGACATAAATCCATCAGAAGTAGGGAAGGCCTAGACCCTATTGTGGGAAATTGGAGCCAGTAAAAGGAAGTTCTTGCCAGTCAGTTAATGAGAAGAGCATCATTTGTAGATGAAGACCTCTGTTTAGCTCTTGCGTGCGTGCATGCATGCTAAGTCGCTTCAGTTGTGTCTGCCTCTTTGTGATCGGATGGACTGTCGCCCACCAGGCTCCTCTGTCCATGGGATTCTCCAGGCAAGAATACTGGAGTAGACTGCCATTTCCTTCTCCAGGGGATCCTCCCAACCCAGTGATCGACCCCTTGTATCTTATGTCTCCTGAATTGACAGGCGAGTTCTTTACCACTAGTGCCACCTGGGAAACCCTTGTTTAGCCCTTACTGTTTCTAAAATGCTGATGACTCACTTTTGTCGGAGCTCATGCAGCGTAAGGACCCCCTGTGCCCCTCGGCCCCTGCCAGCCCTCTGCCCAACTCGGGGAGGCGAGAGCCACCCACCAGACACCCCATCGCAGCTGCCACTGTGATGCACACTGCACTCTGCATTCCAAGTGTGTGGTCAGTGCCAGGGGACAGAGACTTCTGCCACTGTCTTCCCTGCTGTGTCCCCAGGGCCTGCCAGCTGCAGGAGCCTGACGGAAATTTCTTGACTTGAACTGATCGTAACTGAAACTTGCAAACAGCTTCAGCTGTTCAGAACATTGCTAACTCTGAGACAGGGCAAGCAAGAACCTTCAGATCCAGAGACAGAGATCCCCACGGCAAAATAATTAACTAAAAATGGAAAAACGACAACAACAAAAATAACTCTTGTGTTAACCCTATAAAGTCTGTCTCCCTCAAACCAATAGCAAACGTTGCACTCAGCCATGAAACATGGGTGTTCCGCTATCAGTCAGAGTCATGAGGCTTGCCTGCCCAAGAGTACAACTTTTAGTCTTCCTATGTTCTCCGTTAGGATCCTAACAACAAGGAAAAGAAAAAGCAGTATAAATGCTAGCAAGAAAGGATAACGTTCTCACTATTTGCCTACCTAGAAAGTCTAAAAATTATTAACTAAACTAATACTAATGTTAGCAAGGTATTTTACTATTAATTTGGTACTGAGCCATTTTCCTGGTCTTTTTTTATATGCTAATCCTAAATAGATGTGAACCTCGGAGACAATTGCCTCAGCTGTGCTAACTTCCCAAGGAACACATTAAAAAAAAAAGTCACTGGTAAACACAGAAATAAAAACCAGTGAGCCAAAGGTCTTTGTCCCTCACAGGGACACACTTCGTAAAGGCAGGGTGTGGAGGGTGGGAAATGGGTGGTTTTCTTGCTGTTAGGACAGTGCGCGCTGGGCGGTGTGACGGTTTGGGAATGAGGACAGTGAACCCTCGGTACTCGCGGGCTCCGCAACCATTTTGATCTGCAGTTGGTTGAATCCTCTAAGGTGAAAACAGCAAATGACGAAGGCCTCCTGTCAGGGTTTTGAGAATCTATGATTTGGGTTTCCTTGGGGGTCCTGCAGCCAATCCCAGGCAGATACTGAGGGATGACTGTATTTTTCAATCAAACCTTATAGGTTTCATTCCTACAGAAATGTTAGCATGGGTCTGTTACTACACAGATATAAGAAGGATATTTTTGCAATCACACCTGGAAAAGTGGTATCCCAATGAACCTAAGTTTTACATGCCTGTGCACTGTGTGGATACAAAATTATGGAACATTCATAGACGTCTATGCCATGCAGATAGCTCTTTTAAAAAGGGTGAAGCATGGCATTCACTCCTGTGAATATTCTGTAACTTTGTATCCACCCAGTGCTGAGGCATCTGAGGTTTATTGAGGCATCTGCTTTTCCATATAGGAAAAGCCTGGTGGGTTACAGTCCATGGGGTCCCAAAGATTCAGACACGACGGAGCATGCATGAATGCACAATGTATATTTAATAAACAAGTGAGTGATTTTTCACAAATGGAGAGTACACATGAAGTCAGCACTCTTATCAAACAATATTCCCAACAACCCAAAAGCCCTTCCTATTCCCTTCTAGTTGCTATCTCCCAAGGGTAACTACTATCTGGACTTCTAATCAAATAGGATGTATTATTTCGTATTGTCTTCTTTGCTCAACAGTATGTGAGATTTTTGTTGCATACATTTGTACATGGTTTATTTTCGTGGTTGCATAGTATTCCACTGTGTGAATAAATCACACGTTAATTATCCAAAAACAAAAAAGAGTGAAGCAGCTCTGTGGCCTAGCTGGAGGGAGGTCCACAATATTTCTTAAATGTTAAAAAGCAAAAACAGATTGCCCAATAATATATATTGGTGAGATTTCATTTTTGTTTAGAATATGTATCGTACAAATAAACATATATGTGCATACATAGCTATATGCATGTGTGTATATGTCATGCCTATGTACATGTAAGAAATATACAAAGTCTGGAAGACTACATATCCACCCATTAATAGCTGTTATTTCTTGCAGGGGCTGAAACTTGTAACTTTTTATTTATACAGTTTTGTGTTGTTTCAATTACTCTGCTTGAAAATCAACTGTAGTTCAATTTTTTTAAAAAAATTTACAACCAAGAATAAATAAATAAATTACTCTGCAAGGAGAATGTGTTCTTTTTATTCTTCAATTAATATTAGAAAGCTAAATTCCTGATGTCATTTGTTTTTGTGGCTGCTGTTTTTCTAGTTTATTATTTATTTGCTTATTTTTCATGATTTGCCTTTTTCTCTGACATGTGGGCTCTGAAGGAAAAAGTTACTGGGAGGAGCTTGGGGCATCAGCTGTAAGTTACTCCAGGTAAGTCTCCAGTGGAGGTGGGTGGGGCAGAGAATGGGCCCTCCATCTCTCTGCACACTTGTTCACTGTTCCGGGCACACGCAACCATACCTGACCTGTCCTTGGACCATCGCCACCGGGGCCAGTGAGAGTGAAGGCGTTAGCCGCTCAGTCATGTTTGGCTCTTTGTGACCCCATGGACAGTAGCCCACCTGGCTCCCCTGTCCATGGGATTCTCCAGGCAAGGATACTGGAGTGGGTTGCCATTCCCTTCTCCAAGGGACAGCCTGACCCAGGGATCCAGGCAGATTCTTTACCGTCTGAACCTGACTGCTCAAAGGCAAGGGACAGGGTGAGTCAGGTTAGGACCAGCTCAGGACAGCTCATGCCTCCTCCATCTCTGTGCTTTCAGTGGGACTATGGCCGGGGTAGGGCGGGGTGGGGGGGCTCTGTGTACATGCCCTAGGGTGGCGGGAATAGGAGCATCATTCCCCCAGCTCTCATAACGTTTTATAATGAAATATAAAAGTCACAGAAAAAGCAGATTTGGTAAAATTTTGCTAAGCAAGATAGTGAATAAGGGTAATATTTGTTATATAATCTCACAGTAATATATAATATAAATAATAAAATGCATTATATAGTATATTATACATTTGTTATATATTCAATATACATTCATTTATTTCAAAAGTGTAGGCAATTGAGGCAGCTCCACTTATTAAATCATGCATTTCTTCCAAATTGAAACACAATTTTATATTATATTAAATCACCATATACAGGAATCTAGTCTTATTTATTTACTGAAATGATTAGCACTTACTTAGTGCTTAGTCAATGTAGGCACTCTTCTAAGTACTTAAAAGAATATTAACTTATCTGTTGTTTCAACCTCTTAAGCACTGCATTATTGGATTCTCTAATTAGAGTTTCACTTTTTTGTTTTCTTTTCCCCCTATGCCCTCCCAAAGTGATTTAAATACAGCCCAGTTTATAATTTCCTCTGATGATCTGTGATAAGGAAAGTATTTCCTCCCCACAATTTTCCTTTTTCAAGCTTTTCACGGCTATTATCTGATAATGTATTTTTTTAAAAACCATTTTTGGAGGTTCATCTCACAATTGATGCAGCTTATCACATTGGTAAGTGTTGACATTTGTATTCAGCCATATAAGCAGCCCCCAGATCAGGTCAGAGAACATCTTCATGAGTCCAGGCCCCTCCCAGCCGAGACCACCACTGTGCTGGCCGACCACCATGGATTGGCCTGGTCTGATGCTGAACATCCTGTTGAAGCACAGAGTATGCAGTCTTCTGTGTCACACCTCCTTTATACAACATCATGTCTGTGAGATTCATTTATATGTAGTTCTTTCTCTTTCCATTGTAGGAAAGTTCTACCACTTAATCACCCATTCTTCTTTTGATGGACATTTGGGCTATTTCCAGTTTGGGGCTGTTACAGAGAAAGCTGCTCGGAACTTTCCAACGCCTGTCTCTTGGTGAACATCCTCATTTCAGCTAGGTAGGCTCTTGGAAGAATCGCTGGGTCAGGTCTATGTAGACACTTCACTTCAGTACACTCGGCCTCCCTGCTTCACAAGTTACCCGCCCAGCAGCAGTCTAACCCATCTGCTGGCTCCCCAGTCTCGGCAGCAACTAACCTTAATCTCAGCCTTTTTAACTTCAGCCTTTCTAGCAAATATGTAGTTGTTTCACTTCAAAATTGGTAATTCTCCAATGACAAATCATGTGATGCCTATTCTATATGTTGATTGGCCATTTTAATGTTGACATTTAAGAAAATCCTATTTG